TTGTTGACCTCACCGAATGGTGTTGGTTGTACAGTGACCACGTTTAGTGTGGAGTTTTGAGAGTAGATGTCGTTAAATATATTATTTGAAGAGATTCTGCAGGAGCTCAGGAAAGTGCATCTTACTCCATTACGGCTCGCTAGCGCCCCATATTGGAGGCATCGCTTAGCTCACCTGGTCGAGCAGGTGCTCCATGTTCGAAGGCTTTGCCCTTGCCTCAGTGGCTGCGGGCGTGAGTCCAATCCCGGCCACTTGCTGCATGTCATCCCCCCTCTCTCTACCCCCTCACACTAAAACAACTGTCCTATCGATTAAAGGCAAAAAAGCCCTAAAAAATATCTCAAACAAAAAAAAGAAGCTCTGGATCATAGAAGGATTTGCCACACATTTCACACTGTGCTCTGGCTATTTCAGAATGTGTCATTGTGTGTCATAACTTTGTGGGCTGACAAACCTACTGACCATACAATTTCTAAAACACTCCGGTTTCTGTACAATCACGTTTGAGCAGGCTTTGAATGCCTGCAGATAAACAGTCTGCGTGGAGAGCAAAAGAGGCAGAACGTATTGGCTGTAATGCAAACCCATCGGCTATTGTCTGATGATGATTTAGCTTTTTTCTAATTTATCCGCATTCATATATTGATATATTTTCGTAGAGACTAGCTGAAATGTTGTCTCAAGTTGCTAACTGATCTGTTAACAATGACCAGCACACAGAAGATAAAGACTTGGGCTGGATATCAGCTGGTTACACCAGAACTCCCAAAATATTAGCAGTTGTCCCCGGAGGCTGTCTAATCGTCAGATGATAGCTGATGGGTTCCAAGACTGGCTGTATAATGGATGAGCTATGCTTTGCTGGTGTTCCCTGTGCTACTGAGACCAACATGCTATCAGCTCAAATGGAAGTCTTCTGTTCAAATATTCAACAGCATGCAGCAGACACTCATCTACATAGCTAAATGATCTGCTTTGGAAGGGCTTGGTTAAATCAGACTGGCAGTGTGCATGCAGGGGTATTGCTCAACAACCCTATAACATATCAACAGGTTTTGCAGAAGAGGATCTTCCTGGCATATGCCGCTCCAGATTACTTTATACCCCGTCTTCAACGGGACCCCCAAAGTTACTGCAGGCAGGCTGCAAAAGTATTGTTTGTTAATTTAATTTAATTTTAGTTTTAATTTTTTTTAAGCTGAAAATATATCTAGAAATACAAATTAAAGTGAATCCAACGTATTATTCGCAAGATAAATTGGCCTTTTTGTTAAAAAAAAATAAAAGAATTTACAGTACACAACACTGATGACAGAATAAAAGTTGACCATGAATCCATGTGCAATTATGTTGTTAATGCTAAATCCCTGGGCAGCCCCTGTCCATAACAGCGAGGCAAATTAGCTGGCAAACAGTTGCACACTTAACTGGGTGGGAATGCTGCAAAGTAACTATCTATGTTACTCTTCGCAAAAAATTCTGCCCACTTTTTTGTCACACTACTCCCTCCACCTATTTCAACATAGAAACGTCTTTCAAACATCAAAATATGTAGCTCAATTAGGACATACCTGCTTATATTTTGATTATTTGTATCTTTCAAACTGTCCGAAATATTCACCATTTTCCAGGAAACTTTCCCCATTCAAACAAATGGAGGAACGTTGAAATTTTACGTAAATTCATGGTTTCTCAAGCATTTTCAAAAAAAAAAAAAAAAAATGCCCTTCTCAGGTTTTTACATTGGTTTGTACTGGACAGAATGCTCAGAGATAAAGTGGTGGACTCAGCTATCAGAGAGCTTCTAATACAATTCTCTGTAACTCACTGTCACACCAACAATTTTCACTCTACATACATCATTTTTGGTCAAAATAAACGTGTGCTCTTTCAAACAACGTTGCTGTGGAAGCAAACAGACTTACATATTTGGCACAGTCAGACTGAAAGTAAAAGAAATTCCACTAATTGCCGCATTAAACTCAGTGTGACTGAGACCAGAAATCTTTATATAAAAAAATTATTTCACAGCATTCATACATTTATGGTATTATTCAGTATTCAAAGCCAGCATTGCAGTGTAGTTTCAGCTTTTTAACATGCAGCATTCACACCTGCAATATCATCAGAAATTGCATTCTGATGTTAAAGCGAATCAGTTCCCTCCAGTCTCAATTTCTTCTCATCCTTCCATCATAATGTGTCTGAATATTTCATTCTTCCCCTGCAGTTTCATGCCCTTGTTGTCTGGCACAGAAACAAGCTAACCAAAGAAAGGTGTGTACATGTGCTGCACTATGTGCCATTATTTTGCTGTTAAACTGACAGACGTTATTATGTAACCTCATGGAAGAGTGAGAGATTGTAACACACTGAGTTTTTGTAATCTATTCAACCCATCTAAGTCAGACAGAAGCTGAGTGAAGAGATGGCTACAGTGCAGGGTCCTGTATGTGGTGTGGTATGTGGTGTTTTCACTTGGTCAGTGGTCGGAATGATCCGGCACTGAAATGACAGTATATGTCAGTGTGGCAATAACCTCTCATTGCGGCACTGCAAATATATATTCTTTCTCTCTTCAACACAAACACCCAAGACTTGTTAGGAGCTGAGTCCCTCCAAGAAGGACTTGCAGGTTGAATTGATTTAAACAAGTATTACAGGATCTGCCGGACGGCTGCGAACACGTGGCTGCCTTTTTTTTTTTTTTTTTTTTTTTTTTTTTTTTT